TGGGTTCTTCAATGTAATGCTCTTAGTAACACAATTAATGGATGCATGATGCGCTACTAACCAATCCATTCCCAATATGACATCGAAGTGAGTCATGCTTAGTGGCATCAAATCAGCTAATAATTCTACATCCTCAATCACCACAACACACGCCCTATATATGGATGCAATAATTATAGTTCCCCCAGATGGAGTAGATACAGATAGCACATAATCAAGGGGTTCTAACGGTCTATTCAACTTCTTGGCAAATTTAACAGATACAAATGAATGTGTAGAGCCTGAATCAATCAAGACGTATGCAACTTGAGAGCAAATAGAGAGTGTACCTGACACTACCGTTTCAGCATTTTGGGTGTCTCCTGGTACTAGAGCAAAAACTCTGCCTTGTCTTATCTGTGTCCTTCCGACGTTGCTTCCTTGTGCAGAGCCCGAGATGCTCCCATTTTTCTTACCATCATCAGCTCTTGCCTTCGGACAGTCTTTCACGCGTTGGCCTAACTCGCCACATTCAAAGCAGGCTCCTGTCACCCAGCGACAAACCTCGAGATGCGGCTTCCCACAACTCGTACACGTCGGCTTAGCATTTCTATCCCGATCTGAGTTGCTGGAACTGCCCGCATTCGCCTTCTTCTTGGCATTAAACGGCATCCGACGACCTTCATAGTTCTGTCTCTTCCTTTGACTCTCTCCTGAACTTTGATATCGGTTTAAGTTAGCTTCTGCCAAGATGGCCTTGTCTAACACCTCGGCGTAAGTCGGCATGTTGAGCATGTTGCCCGATCTTGGATTGGTCCATGTAGTCCACTTTCAAACTTCCTGGCTTTCCTATACTCATCACTGACCATATAAGGCGCATATCTCACCAATTCGGTGAAGGCATGGTCGTACTCTGCCACTGTTCTGTTGCCTTGTGTTAGAGTTTGGAACTCTGTGGTCTTGCGATCTCTAACGCTAAGCGGGAAATGCTTGTTGTAAAACAGTTCCAAAAATCGGGCCCAAGTTAAACCAGGATTAGCCTCCCGGATCATCATCTACCACCTTTGAGCGTCGTCGTCTAATGTGAATGCTGCTAATGTCACCTTCTGAGTGTCGGTGCTGGGAAAGATCTCGAACAACTTTTCCATTTCCAAAACCCACGCCTCGGCCTTCATCGGCTCTATGCCCCCTGAGAATCTAGGTGGGTTCATCTTCTTGAACTCTTTAATCAAAGTCATCGTCCCTTCCCCATACAAGGCTGGCTGTGGAGGCACTTGGGGCACTGGAGGAGGTGGAGCTGCATGTCGGCCATCCGTCTGTTCGGCCTAGGTAGATGTAGCACTTGCATTCTGTTGCCTCACCTACCTCAACTCACGGGTTAAACCTTCAACTAGCCTTTCTAGTCTGCCCAGTCTATCCTCTGATTGATCTCGGCCAACTGGTGGTCTACCTCTCCTCATGATGCTATGAGTATGCAAAATGCGATCTTAAAACAAACTGAACCAAGAATCATGTTATGCAAATAACAAATGGTCATGCCGAGATGATGCACACCTTGTCACATAGCAAGCAATATGATGCGATCCTAACATTTTTCTAAGGGAAATCATATGCTCTTTAGGACTCAAGTGTGTGATCAGCGCACTATAAGAAACTTGCGCTCTGATACCATTCTGTCACGACCCCAAACCGCCCTTAGTAGTTTGGTGCCGTGATGGCCAGTAATCCGAGATTACCGAAGGCCAACTTTCAAAATTCACACACAATTAGAGTATAGATATAGGGGGCTCACAAGTGCGGAAGCAATAATCTAAAATACAAGTGGTCCATAAGAGCAGTGCATAAGTCAAATGAAATGGCATACATCTTTACATAGCTTTACAACTTGAATACAAAAACAATGAAGTACAAAATACATATTACATCTTGATCAAAAGGCTTCTCCAGCCGACACGTGTAAATTACAGGTATTATAAGCCGAGAAGCATAATTTTCAAGACTGCCGACGTGAATACAAGTTAGGCCGACATAACAAAACCCAAAACAAGCTCGCGAATCACACCTAGGCGTCACCGCCTTCCTGCTCATCACCTACATATATATAGAGAAGGTGAGCTTGGATACTCAGTGAATGGCATAAGTAATAAAGAGGTTTGCATGACTGGTATTCAAGATCTTTATCAAACAATACATAACATAATTAGTGCAAGTCAATGATTGAACCAAGTCCATCTTCCAAATCTGTCAAGTTTCAAGGGATGCTTACTAACATCATTATAATACAAGTGATGACATCTCGGCAAACAAATCAGCGCGGTAAACCGGCAGTGACAAACAAGGCAAGACAAGACAAGGCAAGACAAGGGAGATATCTCAATTCAATGGTGTCGTTGCATTATAGTCCCCTGACACTAAGGGCTTGTGCTACTAATGCTTAAAGTCCCCTAGCACGTACGGACTTCCAAACTTTGTGCTACAAATGCTTATAGTCCCTTAGCACGTACGGACTTCCAAACTTTGTGCTACAAATACTTATAGTCCCTTAGCACGTACGGACTTCCAAGAATGTCATCAAAACAAGATAGTACATATATTTTCCAACTAGGAATAACCATTCATGCTTACAAATACTTTTCAAAACGAAGCAAAACAAGACTTTTATCAAAGCATTATAACATAGCTTTATTAAAAATACCACTCACTTAGTTCTTCAAACGTCGGGGTCAAGGCAAGTCCAAGTCCTACAAACACATGGCAAAGTCTGATGAATGCACTTTCAAACAAGTTTCACATGCATGCAGATGATCTCAGCATTCCACAAGACTAAGTCAAATCAAAACAAACACAATTCTTTATCTCGGGAAAACATGATGGGCAACTACCAGGTCTAGGCCGAGGTTCCACACCCCCTTGCCGAGGTGTGGCCTCGATGGCCACATTCAAAGGAATGAAGTCGGGAAAAAAAAAAATCTGGGTTTCCCTTTCTTGAAGAACATGATGAACATGAAGAACATGAACATGAGAAAGATGAATGCAAAGATCATAATTTGCTGTTACAAAATCTGAGATTTCATGCTATGAGTTCAAAAACATGGACCTGGGCACCCATATTCAAGGATCTTGTGAGAACAAACATAAAAACATGAATCTTAATGCAAACTTTCAGATCAAACAAGACTTTTTCTTCAAGAGCACATGAACACTATTGTCTCTTTCTAAACCAACTTTAAATCGATGCATGACATGTAGAACAGGTTCGATCGTGCAATGGAGCTAGATGATCAATAAGAACAACGAGAGTGAATCAAGAATCTAACCTCAATACACGAATCTAACGGTTCAAACTCCAAAGATCGAGCTTGGTAGTCTACTTCCTCCTCAAGAACTTCTTCTTCCTAGAGTCTCTCTCTCTCTCTCTCTAACAGACAAGGATGTAATACAAAAATGTATATTTCTGAGTCTATCGGCTGACTTAACCCTCTACAGGGGCACGTGGCAGCGGCTGGTTGGTGCTACTCAAAAAGGTGGCTGAGTGACAAGACAAAACTATGACAAAGTGTGTTCAACAAGCAAGATGGCATGGGCACTTCGGTAGGCAATGATCTCGGCTAAAAGCAAGGCATCGGCAAGTAAGGAAACAATGACCTCGGCTAGGAAGGACAACACTTGACTAAGTTGTGCCACACCTTGGCCTAGATGTGCCACACCTCGGTCTAGGTCATACCACTTCGGGACAAGATCACTTAAGTGCAAAGGTAACATCTCGGCCTAGATGATACACACCTCGGCCTTAGTGATGAACACCTCGGCCTAGATAATGACATCTCGGCCAACATGTCAAGGCGAAGGTGGAGGTCAAATTGAGTGGTTCCAAGATAATTCTAGACTAAAGATGACCTCGGCTAAACTCACACCAAACAAGGTACAAAGCATGCTGTAACACTTAAACGAACAAGGACAAGACTTGAAATGCAAGTTTACAAGACAGAATCACATGAATGCATATGAGCATAGTTAGGATGGCGTGAGGGTTATTACAACCACATCATATGATTATTAGTGCAGAGTAAGATCTGTTGTTTTTCTTTGTTTATTTCATACTATTTATCTGCTTCATCCCATGTATAAAGCTCTTATTCGTATTTTTATAGCCTTCGTGCTGAGAAATATTTCAAGAGGAGTGCACGCTTGGATTGGCTAGAGGGTGCAAGCTCCAAAGAAAGTACGAGGGCAGTTTGAACTTTAACCCGCCTACTGGTAATTGGTAGATTTGTTTATTCTGAACTGTTATCAGAATCGTATGCAGCGGGTACTAATTTATCATCATTTCCTTTGTTCTCACTAGCCATTTTTCTAAGTGTTTTGTTTCAAATATTCCTTTATTATAACATATAGTATAGATAAATTAAAATTTTTGTATTAACAATTAAGAATTAAATCATGCCTTGTTATAAAAAAAAAATAAAAATGACATAGTTATAATATTTCACTCTTTTAGAATAAAAATATATGAATTTTAAAAATTTGTCATATTGATTTTTGAAAGGGAAATAATTAAATATATTTGAAAAACTTAATGAGTAAGAAATAATCATCGTAAAAAATAAAATTTCGAAATGCTCTACCATATAATAATAAAATTGGTTGATTTATTTATTGAAATATACTGTTGACATCAATAATAGCTGTGACGAAATGATTTATTGGTAAAATGACCATTTATTATGAAGTAAAAAACTTCAAGGGACATGATATGATTTTTAAAATCACACTTGAAGTTTTTTACTTCATAATAAATGGTCATTTTACCAATAAATCATTTAGTCACAGCGATTATTGATGTCAACAATATATTTCAATAAATAATTAAACCAATTTTATTATTATATGGTAGAGCATTTAGAAATTTTATTTTTTACGATAATTATTTCTTACTCATTAAGTTTTTCAAATTTATGTAAATTAGTACCCGCTGCATACGATTTTGTTAACAGTTCAGAATAAACAAATCTACCAATTACCTGTAGGCGGGGTAATTTCCAAACTGCCCTCGTACTTTCTTTGGAGCTTGCACCCTCTAGCCAATCCAAGTGTGCACTCCTCTTGAAATATTTCTCAGCACGAAGGCTGAAAAAATACAAATAAGAGCTTTATACATGGGATGAAGCAGATAAATAGTATGAAATAAACGAACAAAAACAACAGATCTTACCTTGCACCAGTAATCATATGCTGTGGCAGTGGCCCTAACAACCTCTCTATCATACCTAGATGTTCCACACTCTCATTGTCTAAACATTCCAAGACTTGCCCAAAAGTCCCTGCAATTATATTACACTATGGATTTAATTCATCGAATGAATTAACAAAGATGGGATTATGGAATGTAAATTTGAAAGTCTGTGGAACCCAAAAAGTGAGTGTTTCATATTAATACCAATGTCTAGAAGACTCATATTAATAATAAAAATAAATAATAAATAAAAAAAAAGAAAGAAAGAAACAGATAAAGGGAGAAGGAAAGAAGCTGAAGGAAAAACTAACCTTCTCCCATTTTACTCAGAATCCTGTCTGCAAGTACAAGTAAATAAAATATGTTATTGGTGAACAGATTACAAATCAAAGAAAAAACTGAGAACATGGATCCACAAATAATAGGACATATCCAAACTGAAGATCAATTAGTTTGGTGTTTTCGAAACTATTTTTAGAAATGGGTTAGAGAACCATTTTGTAGGAAGCACCATAACACTATTTTCTGTTCTCTATTTTGTGGTTTCCAGTTGGGAATAGTATTATGAACACACACACCCAAAAAAAAAAAACACGAGTCCACAAAATTTTCACAACTTTCAGAAAAAAATGTTTGAGAGCATTTTGGAAACCACTTCTTAATTGCATGATGTGTCCTTTTGAATCTTTTAAAAGCAGACTGGACCGGCCAATTTGCATTGGGCCCGAACACAGTTGGGATAAACTTGTAGCATCCTTTTGAAAGAAAAACCAACTTTTTCAACAGAAAAAAACACAAAAAACAAAAATCAGACAGCTAATTTGATCCATGAAAACTGCTTATAAGTCAACAGAACTGGGCAGTCCATATATCATACAACTGAAAAAATTAGTTGAGCAAGAAGCCGACCATGGTCAGCCACGAACTTCTGTTGAATGAACGCCATCTCTGCCTCAGACATCTTTGAGTTTATAGTCTTTTTTGCTGGTAACTACTCCTCTCAACCTTTGATGTTTCCAAAACTTCATACTCATCCTTACATTCTTGCTGCGCCATTGAGTCTTTCCTATTTGATCGGTGTTCATATGGTTTTCCATCCCTTTGCGATGATACTGATGCAGTCCATTGTAGATAAGTTTCAGAGAACCCTTTACGGTGTCTATGAAGAGGCTGAGGCTGCTGAGGAGGCAGCCCATCAAGACCCATCAATTTGGCAATAACATTCGGTGGCCGTCCATCAACGTGTACTGTTACAAACATACACTTAGCTATGCAAACATAGAAACTAAGCTTGGATATGTAAACACAGAAACACATAAACTCCACTTTTTTCGTTCTGATCTTCCTTTCTCCTAAAAACCTTCCTAGGGTCTGGGAGTGAGTCTAGACCCATGAGTTTTGCGACTACTCTTGGGTTCTTGACTTGGGTTTTGAAATTCTTTTTTGGGTTTTTGAAGGTGGTGGTGGTGGTGGCAGGGATGTTGGTGGTGGGGTCGGATGGTTGGGTTGGAAGGCTGCCGATGCAGAGGGGGCAAAAGAGGATGCCAGAGAAACACTTGAACTTGGAATTCTGTGACTTGGCCATGTTTGAGAGAGAGAGAGAGAGAAAAAGAGACTCTGTGGAAAGGCCGCAAAAGGCAACGAAACTATAAAGGCTTGCTTTGGTACAATATATAGGGAGGAGTGATCCATGTAGTCATTTTACCAATTGGAATCTAATTTCCATAATTTGAATCTAATTTCCGTTCTTATTTTAAGACTTATTAGGTAAAATATTTTTATAAAAAATTAATACGATTAGATATTAATTGTTATATATTTAAATTAAATTTATGTTATAAAAAATAGATAATTATTTTTAGAATTATATTTGTTGTCTATTTTTTTGAAATAAATATGTTTCAAATATATAGCTACTGATATTCAATTGTCTTAACTTTTTATATGAATATTTTAATTAAAGAGTTTTAAAAAATGAACAGTTGAAATATAGCGATCCCGGTTGTCCCTTTACTGTTCTGTTGTATTCCGGACTCGGTTCCGCGAAGTTGGTAGTGGTATCTATCTTGTTGTTGTCCTTTAATTCCACTTGAATGAGTTTTAGGATGTTTTGAGCAGGGTTGTAATAAGGAGAGGGGGTGGCCCTCCCCTTCTTGGGACTTCAAGGCACTATCTTTACCACTGAAATCCCTCAAGATTTTAGTGGTGAGGAGGTCCAAACACCAAAATCCCGGAGCTCACTCAAAATAGCACACAATGGAGCCCCTCAAGGCTTAAGAGGGGTCAAACACCTCCAAACCACAAAACACTCTAAACAAACTATTTAGAGGGCCCAAAAACAGAATTTTTTATATTATACACTAAGCTCAAAAATAGTTCTACGATAGGCAAAAATAGTATGCAAGAATGGGGTAAAAAGGGGTAAGATTGTTACCCTTGTTGACCCTCTTCACAAATGGTGGACCAGCCCCTTCCTTGAGCTCAAAACAGCTCCAAAGCTTCAAGAACAAACCTCTGGCCCTTCAAGAACCAAGAAAAGGTGTAACATTATGTGTTTGTGTGCAATAGTAAGCCTAAACACACACAATACAAGAGAATGAGAGATATAGATATAGGATAGATACAAAACCCTAAACCTAGAACTAGAGCTTTTCTTACAACTTTTCTAACCTTTTTTGTCTAACCCTAAAGCCAAGAGAGGAGGGCTCCTCTTATAGAGAAGCCAATCTTGTAAAGCTTACTCAAGAAGCTAACAAGGAAGCCATCCCTCCATACACGTGTATGGAGGGGAACAAAATGCAAGCCAGCTGTAAAAAAGGGAAGAAACATAGGGACGTATGCCCAACTTCTCTATACTCCTCTTTCAATTATCCATAAAGAAATTGAAGGAAAAAAAATCAATCAACAATACATAAACAAACTTCTTTAACTTTGAAACGTAGCTATTAGATTGCAGCAAAGCCATTTTAGTCTCAAGGCTAATGAATTACTAATAAAAATAAAAGGCATTTTAGAAGTTCCTTTCACACAATTCCATCCAACCTTCCTTTAGTCTCAAACATTTTATACATGTATTTAGTTTTATCATAATAAATGGCACTGCAATCAGAGTTTTGCTAAAATTCCAATTGAGAGGTCTTGAGGCAGGCACGCGAGCCGAGACCTCCGGGAACTCCAAACGAACACAAACATGGATGATCACCGGGTGTTCAAACGGTGACGTCCAAGTCTTGAGGACGGTCAAAAATGGGGTGTCTACAATAGGGCATTTGCTTTTGTTGTTAACATGTAATACAGTTGTAAGAACTACTCTGATGAATAGAAATGGTGGATTTCTTTTGTATCAATGTATGTTTAAAATGTTGGTTTAATGCTTTTATTTTGAGGGCGTTACAAAGACTTATTAGGTAAAATATTTATATAAAAAATTAAGATGATTAGATATTAATTGTTATGTATTTAAATTAAATTTATATTATAAAAAATAGATAATTATTTTTAAAATTATATTTGTCGTCTATTTTTTTGAAACAAATATGCTTCAAATATATAGCTACTGATATTAATTTCTTAACTTTTTGCATGAATATTTTAATTAAAGAGTTTTAAAAATGAACAGTTCAAAACATCGGAATCGATTCTTAAATATACCTACTAAACCAAAGCTCTCTGAAATTAATAACAACTTAAAAAAAAAAAAAGAAGCAAAATCCTTTCTGATACCATGACAGGCTTATGTGTTAATTATATGTCCACCAAAAAAAAAAAAAAAGTTATAGATAAAACTGTTGAGTTATTTTTTAGGTAGTTCAATAAATGGATAAATTATAAATACACATCCGAAATTTATTTAAAATATGAATTATTTCATGTGATTTTAAAAATTATATCATGTCCCTTGAAGTTTTTTACTTCATAATCAATGGTCATTTTACCAATAAATCATTTAGTCAGCGATTATTGATGTCAACAGTATATTTCAATAAATAATTAAACCAATTTTATTATTATATGGTAGAGCATTTAGAAATTTTATTTTTTACGATGATTATTTCTTACTCATTAAGCTTTTCAAATTTATGTAAATTAGTACCAGCTGCATACGATTCTATTAACAGTTCAGAATAAACAAATCTATCAATTACCTGTAGGCGGGGTAATTTCCAAACTACCCTCGTACTTTCTTTGGAGCTTGCACCCTCTAGCCAATCCAAGCGTGCACTCCTCTTGAAATATTTCTCAGCACGAAGGTTGAAAAAATACAAATAAGAGCTTTATACATGGGATGAAGCAGATAAATAGTATGAAATAAACGAACAAAAACAACAGATCTTACCTTGCACCAATAATAATATGCTGTGGCAGTGGCCCTAACAACCTCTCCATCATACCTAGATGTTCCACGTTCTCCTTGTCTAAACATTCCAAGACTTGCCCAAAAGTCCCTGCAATTATATTACACTATGGATTTAATTCATCGAATGAATTAACAAAGATGGGATTACGGAATGTAAATTTGAAAGTTTGTGGAACCCAAAAAGTGATTGTTTCATATTAATACCAATGTCTAGAAGACTCATACTAATAAGAAAAATAAGTAATAAATAAATAAATAAAGAAAGAAAGAAACAGATAAAGGGAGAAGGAAAGAAGCTGAAGGAAAAACTAACCTTCTCTCATTTTACTCAGAATCCTGTCTGCAAGTACAAGTAAATAAAATATGTTATTGGTGAACAGATTACAAATCAAAGAAAAAACTGAGAACATGGATCCACAAATAATAGGACATATCCAAACCGAAGATCAATTAGTTTGTTATTTTGAAAACTGTTTTTAGAAATGGGTTAGAGAACCATTTTGTAGGAAGCACCATAACACTATTTCCTGTTCTCTGTTTTGTCGTTTCCAGTTAGGAATAGTATTATGAACACACACACCCAAAAAAAAAAACACGAGTCCACAAAATTTTCACAACTTTCAGAAAAAATGTTTGAGAGCATTTTGGAAACCACTTCTTAATTACATGATGTGTCCTTTTGAATCTTTTAAAAGCAGACTGGACCGGCCATTTTGCATTGGGCCCGAACACAGTTGGGATAAACTTGTAGCATCCTTTTGAAAGAAAAACCGCCTTTTTCAATAGAAAAAAACACAAAAAAAAAAAAACAGACTGCCAATTTGATCCATGAAAACTACTTATAAGCTAACAAAACTGGGCTGTCCATACATCATACAACTGAAAAAATTAGTTGAGCAAGAAGCCAACCATGGTCAGCTATGAACTTCTGTTGAATGAGCGCCATCTCTGCCTCAGACAGTTTTGAGTTTATAGTCCTTTTTGCTGATAACTACTCCTCTCAACCTTTGATGTTTCCAAAACTTCATATTCATCCTTACATTCTTGCTGCGCCATTGAGTCTTTCCTATTTGATCGAAGTTCATATGGTTTTCCTTCCCTTTGCGATGATACTGATGCAGTCCATTGTCGATAAGTTTTCGAGAACCCTTTATGTTGTCTATGAAGAGGCTGCCGAGAAGGCAACCAATCAAGACCGATCAATCTGGCAATAACATTCGGTGGCCGTCAATCAACGTATACTGTTACAAACATACACTTAGCTATGTAGACACAGAAACTACGCTTAGATATGTAAACACAGAAACACATAAACTCCACTTTTTTCCTTCTGATCTTCATTTCTCCTAAAAACCTTTCTAGGGTCTGGGAGTAAGTCTAGACCCATGAGTCTTGCGACTACTCCTGGGTTCTTGACTTGGGGTTTGAAATTCTTTTTTGGGTTTTTGAAGGTGGTGGTATGGATGTTGGTGGTGGGGTCGGATGGTTGGGTTGGGAGGCTGCCGATGCAGAGGAGGCAAAAGAGGATGCCGGAGAAACACTTGAACTTGGAATTCTATGACTTGGCCATGTTTGAGAGAGAGAGAGAGAGAGAGAGAGAGAGACTCTGTGGAAAGGCCGCAAAAGGCAATGAAACTATAAAGGCTTGCTTTGCTACAATATATAGGAGGAGTGATCCGTGTAGTCATTTTACCAATTTGAATCTAATTTCCATAATTTGAATCTAATTTCCGTTCTTATTTTAAGACTTATTAGGTAAAATATTTTTATAAAAAATTAGTACGATTAGATATTAATTGTTATATATTTAAATTAAATTTATGTTATAAAAAATAGATAATTAGTTTTAGAATTATATTTGTTGTCTATTTTTTTGAAATAAATATGTTTCAAATATATAGCTACTGATATTCAATTGTCTTAACTTTTTATAAAAATATTTTAATTAAAGAGTTTTAAAAAATGAACAGTTCAAATCATCAGAATCAATTCTAAAATAGACCTACTAAATCCAAATGCTCTCTCAAATTTAATAACAACTTACAAAAAGAAGAAGCCAAATCCTTTCTGATATCATGACATGGCTTATGTGTTAATTATATGTACACCAAAAAAAAAAAGTTATAGGTAAAACATGTTGAGTTATTTTTTTAGGTAGTAAAATAAATGGATAAATTATAAATACACATCCGAAATTTATTTAAAATGTGAATTATTTCATGTGATTTTAAAAATTATATCATGTCCCTTGAAGTTTTTTACTTCATAATAAATGGTCATTTTACCAATAAATTATTTATTCACAACTATTATTGATGTCAACAGTATATTTCAATAACTAATTCAACCAATTTTACTATTATATGGTAGAGCATTTAGAAATTTTATTTTTTACGATGATTATTTCTTACTCATTAAGCTTTTCAAATTTATGTAAATTAGTACCCGCTGCATACGATTCTATTAACAGTTCAGAATAAACAAATCTATCAATTACCTGTAGGCGGGGTAATTTCCAAACTACCCTCGTACTATATGTTATAATAAAGGAATATTTGAAACAAAACACTTAGAAAAATGGCTAGTGAGAACAAAGGAAATGATGTTAAATTAGTACCCATTGCATACGATTCTATTAACAGTTCAAAATAAACAAATCAACCAATTACCTGTAGGCGGAGTAATTTCCAAATTGCCCACGTACTTTCTTTGGAGCTTGCACCCTCTAGCTAATCCAAGCGTGCACTCCTCTTGAAATATTTCTCAGCAGAAAGGCTGAAAAAATAAAAATAAGAGCTTTATACATGGGATGAAGCAGATAAATAGTATGAAATAAACAAACAAAAACAACAGATCTTACTCTGCACCAATAATCATATGCTATGGCAGTGGCCCTAACAACCTCTCCATCATAGCTAGATGTTCCAAGTTCTCATTGTCTAAACATTCCAAGACTTGTCCAAAAGTCCCAGCAATTAAATTACCCTATGGATTTAATTCATCGAATGAATTAACAATGATGGGATTATGGAATGTCAATTTGAAAGTTTATGGAACCCAAAAAGTGAGTGTTTCATATTAATACCAATGTCTAGAAGACTCATTTTAATAACAAAAATAAATAATAAATAAAAAAAGAAGGAAAGGAACAGATAAAGGGAGAAGGAAAGAAGTTGAAGGAAAAACTAACCTTCACCCATTTTAGTCAGAATTCTGTCTTCAAGTACAAGTAAATAAAATATGTTATTGGTGAACAGATTACAAGTCAAAGAAAAAATTGAGAACATGGATCCACAAATAATATGACATATCTAAACCCAAGATCAATTAGTTTGTTATTTTCAAAAACTGTTTTTAGAAATGAGTTAGAGAACCATTTTCTAGGAGGCACCATAACACTATTTTCTGTTCTCTGTTTTGTGGTTTCCCGTCAGGAATAGAATTATGAACACACACACCCAAAAAAAAAACATGAGTCCTTAAAATTTTCATAACTTTCAGAAAAAATGTTTGAGGGCATTTTGGAAACCACTTCTTAATTACATGATGTGTCCTTTTGAATCTTTTAAAAGCAAACTGGACTAGCCAATTTGCATTGAACCTGAACATAGTTGGGATAAACTTGTAGCATCCTTTTGAAAGAAAAACCACCTTTTTTCAACAGGAAAAAACACAAAAAACAAAAATCAGACAACCAATTTAATCCATGAAAACTGCTCATAAGTCAACAGAATTGGGCAGTTCAAACATCGTACAACTAAAAAAATTAGTTGAGCAAGAGGCCAACCATGATCAGCCATGAACTTCGGTTGAATGAACGCCATCTCTGCCTCAGACAGGTTTGCGTTTATAGTCCTTTTTGCTGGGTAACTACTCCTCTCAACCTTTGATATTTCCAAAACTTCATACTCATTCTTACATTCTTGCAGCACCATTCAGTCTTTCCTATTTGATCTGTGTTCATATGGTTTTCCATCCTTTAGCGGTGATACTGATGTAGTCCATTGTCGATAAGTTTCGGAGAACCCTTTATGTTGTCTATGAAGAGGCTGCTGAGGAGGCAGCCCATCAAGACCCATCAATCTGGCAATAACATTCGGTGGTCGTCCATTAATGTGCACTTTTACAAACATACACTTAGCCATGTAAACCCAGAAACTACACTTTGATATGTAAACACAGAAACAAATTAAAACATAGAAACTCCACTTTTTTCCTTCTGATCTTCCTTTCTCCTAAAAACCATTCTGGCGTCTGGAAGTGAGTCTAGTCCCATGAATCTTGCGACTACTCCTGGGGTCTTGACTTGGGTTTTGAAATTGTTTTTTGGGTTTTCGAAGGTGGTGGTGGTGGTAAGGATGTCGGTGGTGGGGTCGTATGGTCGGGTTGAGAGGCTGCAAATGTAGAGGAGGCGGCGGAGGATGCCGGAGAAACACTTGAACTTGGAATTCTGTGACTTGGCCATGTTTGAGTGGGAGAGAGAGAGGGAGAGAGAGAGAGAGAGAGAGAGAGAGAGAGAGACTGTGTGGAAAGGCGGCAAAAGGCAACAAAACTATAAAGGCGTGGTTTGGTACAATATAGAGGGAGAAGTGATCCGGGGAGTCATTTTACCAATTTGAATCTAATTTCCATAATTTGAATCTAATTTCCGTTCTTATTTTAAGACTTATTAGGTAAAATATTTATATAAAAAATTAAGATGATTAGATATTAATTGTTATATATTTAAATCTAATTTATATTATAAAAAATAGATCATTATTTTTAAAATTATATTTGTCGTCTATTTTTTTGAAACAAATATGCTTCAAATATATAGCTACTGATATTAATTTATCTTAACTTTTTATATGAATATTTTAATTAAACAGTTTTAAAAAATGAACAGTTCAAATCATCAGAATCGATTCTAAAATAGAAGTAATAAATCCAAACATTCTCTCAAATTAAGTAACAACTTAAAAAAAAGAAGCCAAATCCTTTCTGATACCATGACATGGCCTATGTGTTAATTATATGTACACCCAAAAAAAAAAAAAAGTTATAGATAAAACATGTTGAGTTATTTTTTTTAGGTAGTTAAATAAATGGATAAATTATAAATACACATCCGAAATTTATTTAAAATATGAAATATTTCATGTGATTTTAAAAATTATATCATGTCCCTTGGAGTTTTTTACTTCATAATAAATGGTCATTTTACCAATAAATCATTTAGTCACAGCTATTATTGATGTCAACAGTATATTTCAATAAATAAATCAACCAATTTTATTATTATATGGTAGAGCATTTAGAAATTTTATTTTTTACGATGATTACTTCTTACTCATTAAGTTTTTCAACTCTATTTAATTATTTCCCTTTCAAAAATCAATATGACAAATTTTTAAAATTCGTATATTTTTATTCTAAAATAGTGAAATATTATAACGATGTCATTTTTTTTATATAACAAGGCATAATTTAATTATAAATTGTTAATACAACAATTTTAATTTATCTATACTATATGTTATAATAAAGGAATATTTGAAACAAAACACTTAGAAAAATGGATAGTGAGAACAAAGGAAATGAGGATAAATTAGTACCCGCCGCATACGATTCTGATAACAGTTCAGAATAAACAAATCTACCAATTACCTGTAGGCAGGGTAATTTCCAAACTGCCCTCATACTTTCTTTGGAGCTTGCACCCTCTAGCCAATCCAAGCGTGAACTCCTCTTGAAATATTTCTTAGCACGAAGGCTGAAAAAATACGAATAAGAGCTTTATACATGGAATAAAGCAGATAAATAGTATGAAGTAAACAAACAAAAACAACAAATCTTACTCTGCACTAATAATCATATGCTGTGGTAGTGGCCCTAACAACCTCTCCATCCTAGCTAGATGTTCCAAGCTCCCATTGTCTAAACATTCGAAGACTTGCCCAAAAG